AATGACAGAGCATGAGGACTTCGTGAGCTTGGCTGGGTACTGGAACTCCTCCAGCAGTTACCAGTTCAGCCCTGCCAGTGTCATTGTCCCTGTCGTCTTCTCCCTCATCTTCCTCCTGGGCACAGTGGGCAACAGCCTGGTGCTGGCAGTGCTGCTGCACAACAGGCAAATGAGCCACAACACTACCAACCTCTTCATCCTCAACCTCAGCCTGGCTGACTTTTTCTTCATTGTCTTCTGCGTGCCTTTCCAGGCCACCATCTACTCCCTTGAGGGCTGGGTCTTCGGCTCCTTCATCTGCAAAGCTGTCCATTTCTTCATCTACCTGACCATGTATGCTAGCAGCTTTACTCTGGCTGCTGTCTCTGTGGACAGGTAACAGTCTAAAGATGTCCTTGGGCTGGGGAAGGAGGGCAGTCTGAGAAGCTGGGATGATTGAGGGCATGGGAAGACTGTGGTCCACCACCATTAGGCAGATGATTCAAACCCCAGTGGTATCAATCCATGCCAAAGGCAGTTTGGGGACCAGTTGTGTCTCCCTTGCCCTAACAACCCCCAGGCAGCACTTCCAGATCTCTGGAGTGCAAAGCTGGTGCTGCTCCTGTCTGCACTTTCTGCAGGGGAGTCCTGCCTTTTGACTAGAGCGCCTGAGACCCAAGTTCAGCTTCCAGCTGTGCCACAGACGCCCACTGTGGGTCACCTAGCTCTGCATTAGAGATGACACTCAGGGCGTAACAGCTATCCCCAAGCCACCGTTTCAGAAAAGCATCATGTGCAGGCAGCAAGGCCAACAGAGGGTACTGTAACAGAAGCCACCTAAATACCCAAGAGAGATCCCAGTCCTGCAGCAAACACGCCTCTCATTTCTCAAGGGCTGCCAGCCCAGTACAAAACCTGTCATCCAGCAGTTTCTTTTCGCCCACCACCCCCAGCCCTCCTGCACCCTGCACCCACACCGTGAGCCAAGTCCTTTCTTGGGACACTCTGGCCCCAGTTGGTGCCACCTACATTGTTCCTAAGGGCTCTGTAAGGCGACTGTGTCCACTGTCCCACTTCTGGCTGAGCCCACAGTAACAGTCCAGGATGAGGAAGAGGTCCCCACTAGGGAAAGCTCCAGCCTTGAGTGCTGCAGGGAACACGTCCTGGCCTGTCTTGCTCCTTGTGCTTCCTTCCAAGGTAACAAGACAAGATAGGGCCAAACAGCCCTCTGTAAAGAGGAGGTTCACAGTACTTCAGGCAAAAGGAAACTTCAGTACCAGAGAATATCTGGGATGCGTTAAATCCCAGTAAAAAGTGTGGTTGGGCTACTCTTCCAGCCCCCTTCCACTTCGTCCTGCTCCCAGATGCCACATGCAGAAACAGGCACCTGGACTCAAACAGTGATCTGACACTTCAGCACTTCACCCACCCTGAGATGCCAACAACCCCTGGTTGGGGTGAGGGGGTCACACAGGATCGCCGACAAAAATATCCTAGTCCTCTGAGATTCCAGTGGTTACACAGTCTGGCTGTTGTCACAAGAAAGACCTGAGATTTCTCATGGTCTAAGACTCTTGCACCTTCATCATGTTAGTGCAACCTGCCTCTCTAGCCAGCTCAGAACTGGGGACAACATCTCAAAGAGAAGGACATTTTGGCAAGGTGCTAGTGCCTGCCTTCTCTCCCTTTTCGGTGGCACTTGTGCGGTATTGCAGTGCTCCACCCAAGAGGAGGGTGCATTCCAGCTCGACATGAAGTGATTCTCATAGAGCTGCTGGCAGCTTTCAGGATGACAGGACTGGCAAGCAACGTGGGTTTTGTCACACATGTGACCCTTCACACCAACTGCAGGTCTTACCTGCCTTCTCTGCTGGCCTTACAGTGCATCAAAGGAGCATCCTTCTGTGGACGCTGGCAGGCTGAGGCTGTAGCAGTTACACGCCTGTCTGTGCTGAAAGCTTCTCTCCATCCCCTACCCACAAGCACCAGGCCACCTTCTCTTCTTGCTGACATCTGCGTCTTTGCCCTGTGGTGTTGTCTGGACATGGGGGAGAAGAGCTGGCCATCACACCGTATCTGGCCACTGTTGCTGGAGGAAGCAGACTATCACTGCCTGCTTTGGACTGGCCTGAGGAAGCAGACTACCAAAAGGCAAGGACCCACCTGGTCCCTTTGGTACAGCTCCGGTGAGCCACAGCTCCAGTGAGCAAATCTTCCCCCTGCCAGGCTGATCTGAAAGTCAGAGAAGGCTGGAAATATGCCCTCAGTGGGAGGGAGCCTGCACGGTGCCCATCAGCCAGTGAAACTTCCCCAGGTCTTGAATCCTCGGTTCAGACCTCTTTCTGCTGGATAAATTCTGCTGAGCAGTGAATATCTGCATGGTCTCCACAGCACTACTTCTCTGGCCCTAGCTCAGGGACATGATCCAGCCCACCATGTACGGAAGGGTGAGCCAGCCTAAGCTTGTGGGAAGAGAAACATCCTTGCTCGAAATGGAAAGGCTGCTTTACTCAGGACTGTATCTGAAAGAGGGTGTGAGATAACATGTGGGGCCACTGCTCAGGGACCTTCAGGAGAACGAACAAAACTCTTGTCCCTGGAGCTTATGTGGCCAGGCAGAGCTTGGCTGAAATCTCAGTGCTGGTTGCTTTGCTCTCCCCTGCAGGTATCTGGCTATCCGCTATCCGCTGCGCTCCCGGGAGCTACGGACCCCTCACAACACAGTGGCTGCCATGGCTGGGATCTGGGGCCTCTCTGCGGTCTTTGCTGGGCCCTACCTAAGTTACTATGACCTGATTGAGTGGGAGTCCAGCTACATCTGCATGCCTGGCTGGGAGGAGTGGAGACGCAAGGTCATGGACACCAGCACATTTGCCTTCGGCTATGTCATCCCAGTGCTGGTCATCAGCCTCTCCTACACCAGGACCATCAAGTACCTGTGGACAGCAGTGGACCCCCTGAAGGACATATCAGAGTCAAAGAAGGCCAAGCGGAAGGTAACCAAGATGATCATCATTGTAACCATCCTTTTCTGCCTCTGCTGGCTGCCCTACCATGTAGTCATCCTCCGATACCTCTACGGAGACTTCCCCTTCAATCAGGCCACCTACGCCTTCCGCCTGCTTTCCCACTGCATGGCCTATGCCAACTCTTGCCTCAATCCCATCGTCTATGCCCTGGTCTCCAAGCACTTCCGCAAGGGCTTCAAAAAAGTTTTCAGCTGCCTCTTGAGGAAAAAGCACCGCAACAAGGTGCACGTGGTGCATGCTGCCCATGTTGTGCCTGGATTTGAGGCAGGCTCCACTGAAGTGTCCCAGATGCACGAGGAGAATAACAGGTGCGAGCTGAACCCAGCCTCCATGGCAGTCCCCTCCCGTTCCTCCAGTCCCGTTCACACTTCTTAGTGGCCAAGCTGCACACCATCTGCCAGCTTGGCTGTGTCACCAGCTTCAGGCTACCCTTTCCCAGTGGGTGAGAGAGGATGCTGGATAGGCAAGCCAGAAACTGCTGTACGCTGTTTCTGGCCTTGTCGTTCCTTCCCATTCCATGCACCAACTCTTCTCCTGAGCCATCTCACCACAACATGCTGCATGCAAGGGAAGGAATGAACCCAGACTTGCTCCTCATCCTCAGACCACCTGGACTCGAAGGACTAAAGCTTCAGCTCTCCTGCTGGCTCTCATCCTTCCAACTCCTCTTCTCCGTGGCCCTACTGCTCTGAAATCAGAGTCTCGCTTCTGCCTCCCAATGCTTCATCTGGCCAGACCAGCTCCCACAGCAGGAA